CTATAAGTGGAAGATCAACAAGCCCTATCTCATTGATAAATTCATTAAATTTTGATTAAGTGCTAGGTTGGCACACTTCCCTCTACTTAACCTTGGATTGCTTTTAGGTGTTATCTCAGACTCGACCAATGTATGGCAACCGATTATTAGAAAATTGGAAGCTAGGTTATCCTCTTAGAAGGCCAAAACTTTAACTATGGGGGGGACGTCTTACCTTGCTCAGATCTGTTTTAAGCAACCTCTCTATTTTTTATGTCTTTATTCTAGATGTTGATCAAGATTTTTTCTATCCATTAACTAAATTCTTAAAAGATTTTTGTGGTGTGGCCCCAACCTTGTTCATAAACAACACCATGTTAGCTGGAACACTATTTGTACCTTCCAAGATCTAGGTGGACTCGGCCTTGTTGATATTGGTCTCCAGAACAAAGTTATTCTCAATAAATGGCCTTGGTGCTACAGTAATGAATTTGAAAGTCTCTAGAAAATAGTAGTGATGGAAAAAGCAAGGTTGGCTACCAACACGATTATGTCGAGCATGGAAAATCCTTCAAAAGCTTCTAATATTTGGAAAAATATTGCCAAGTCTCTTACAAATTTTTGTAACTCTAGCTCATATGTGACTAAGGGAATGGGTTTGTTTGTGGGCCGAGGCGATGGAATAAGTTTTTAGGATGATATTTGGATTGGTGAGTCTTCTCTTCAAAATGTCTTCCTAAAGATTTATGCTTTGGTAATTAAGAATCTAGGCTGCATTAGTGAATTTGGTTCATGGAATGGCAATGACTAGTCGTGGGATATCGAGTTACCCAATATGTTTTTAACTAAAAGAAAAATCAATGGGAAAGCTTCAAGCAGCTCATTAATGATCAGATAATCAACAAGGACTTTTACAATAAATTGATTTGGTAAGGAACCTCCAATGCTAATTACTCTTCTAAATCCTTTTACTGTTAAATGTTGCTCGATAATGCAACTCCTTTCAGGCATTGGAAATTCATTTAGTCAACCCTTGTTCCTCTCAAAATTAAGGTTTTTTACTGGCAGATTCTAAATGGTAGATTGATGGTTAAGGATACATTGGCTAACAAGGGCATTGTTAGTTTAAAAGCTGCTACTTGCTTCTTCTATCATGGCTATATTGAAAGGTGAGCCACCTCTTCTTTGATTGCCCCAAGTCTTGGTTGTTATGGTAGTAATGGTGTTGTTTATGGAATATCCATTGGGTGGTCCATAAGGATTATTTGATTTGCTTCCTGTCATGGTTGCTTGCCGAATTGACAATGGGCTTATGTGAAAAATGCCGTGGTTTGCTATAATTTGGGCTATTTGGATTTCTAACAATGATATTAT